TATATATATTTACAAACTGTGTGCCCTATATATTTAGCAGCTATGGATAATTATGAAGAGGCAAAGGTGGTCTTGAAGCTTTCGGTTGGTAGCACAAAGTAGTGGGGAGTATGCCTTTGGTTGCCTAGAATTGTAGGTTTGTTATTCCCACTGATCAAGGTGTCCAACGAGCTGTCGGTATTGGGTGATGTCATGGTACTCTTGTAGTGAAGCTTCGTTAGGTTGCATCTTGTGGGGAAGAGGTGTATGAATGGTTTTGCAAGAAGTCATTCGAAGTTGTTGAAGGAGTAATGTAATGTATGATGTTTGGTTGAGATGATAGCCTTATGGCGTTTTGTTAGTTGAAAAACTAAGGAATGACTTGACATTCCCAAGTTCCTTTATTTGAAATTCAATTTTGAGGTTTTATATGAGGTTGACAATAGCGGGTGAATTGTTAATGTAATAAGGATGTCGTCCACGTACACAAGAATATAGGTGGTGATTTGGTTGTGATGGTAGGTGAGAAGAGAATGGCCAGTCAAGCTAAGATGGAACCATTTGGATTTCAGGTAATTGATGAGAGTGTAATACCATTTACTTGGTGCTTGTTTAAAGCCATAGATTTGGATGTTAGGTGTCTTGGAAGCCTTGAGGTTGACACCTGTAGTGTGACCAACCTTGACTTAAATTTGATTGGTGATCCATCAGGAGAATATTTGGTTCGATATGTTCATTTGCAACCAATGATGTTCTTATAATGGGGTGGGTCGATAAAAGCCCCGTCCCGTGAAGTTAAAGTGTTTTTAATTCTGATGACATAACTTTGAGCAGTGGAGATGTTATGTAGCTTGGATGTAGTTGGTCGGATCAGATGAAGGTGAGGTGAATGTATCTAGATTGAATGATTATTTTGGTTAGAGAGATCAGATGAGGGAGTTGGTTTTCATGGGGTGTTTGATTGTGGTGATAGGTGGATGAATTGAGAGAGATTGTGTTAGTTGAGAGGTAGCACTTGGAGGGATTGAGATTATGGAATGCAGATTGATTTGAGATGGGTGAGGATTGTTTGTTTTGGTAGATAGTTGATTGGTTAAAGTAAGTCGATGGGGTGCAACAATTGAGGATATGAGTCGGGGTTGGACGAGTTTGGTGGGGAAAGATTGATTCGTTGATAACTGCATGTCTTGATATGATGAGTTGATGTGTTTGAGAGTTGTAGCAACAATAACTTTTATGAGATTGTGAGTAAACGGTGAAGATGCACGACAGGTATATGGGGTGAATTTATGTGGAGTTGTGGCTTTTGCAAGGCATCTGAAGATGTGAAGGTGAGTATAGATAGTTGATTTGTGGTAGAGAAGTTCATATGGAGTTTTGAGTTTTGTGGTCTTGGAGGGAAATATGTTTATAGATAGGTGGCGACCAATAGGGCGGCTGTTCAAAATTTGTAAGGTAGGTGAGCTGTGAGGAGAAGAGTTATTGTTGTTTCGATTGAGTGTTAGTGCTTACGCTTGGCTATACGATTTTGTTGAGGGCAATTGAATTGATAAATGATTTCATAAGAGTTGAGGTAGGTTTGTAGAGTGTTAGATTTGTATTCACCTTCGTTGTCTAAGCGTAGGACTTTGATGTTT